CCTCATGAACGCTATGGTAGCCATCTCGATTCACAGGGCAGAACAATAGATGATTATTTGGAGAGAAGAAATTTCAAGTATGCTGGACAAACATTAGCTGAAATATGGTCACAAGTTATTATTGACCAGTTTCCAACAGTTGCCGAGTTTATTGATCCAGAGACATCTGAGCTAGATGCAGAAGAATTGATAATTAAAGATATAAAATGGTTTTCTGAACACGTCCGCACAAGTCAATACTTTACTCAAATTGTTAAATGTCAAGATGTAAAATGTTGCTTTAAAATAAGAAGCTCATATTTCAATGTTGTTCCTTCGCGATTTTTATGTCCTCCAATTCCAGTTATTCAAACAAGTAATGGTCTTCAAGCTGACAAAAGAGGAGACAGTGAGTCTCATAAGTATCCATCACTTTTTGTTTCACATAGTATTAAAATAGATGATATAATGGCCAGATCGGCAGGAAGTTTCCAAGTTCATCCTTATGATCTCTTTTATCCATCAGTACAGACTTGTCTATTGAATCGAATATGCAAAGTTTGCCATCTCTATTTTGCTTCTCAAGCTATCTTGAAAAAACATGTTGAATTGCACAAAAATTGCGATAAAGGAAATACTGTTCTTGAGAAAACTCAAACAAAGCGTATCAGACCAATAAGAGTAGCCGCTAGAAGACAAAGAGAGCTGATGGTAGTTATTGCTCGAGAAAAAAATGAAGATATAGAGTGGCTGGATGAAGACGAAGTTGATGTTTCGGGAATTGTCATTCCAGATGAAGATTTAGAAAAAACATCAGAAATGCCTGTCCTAACTATAGACGAACACTTCAAATCTCCGTGGATGGATAATAATAAATGGGTAGATAAAGTAAAAGTTTAATTTGTAATTTGAAAAACATAAGGTTCAAATAAAAAAACTATTTTTATTTTATTTTATGATGACAATCTTTCCCAATAAATTAAGAAGGTATTTCAAATTAGTTAAATTGAGTCTTTTTTATTCTGTTAAATAGCTATTACTATGTTTTTAGAATGTTGAAAATTCCGTAATGGTTTGTTTTTTTTTTTAGAGGGAGGGGGGGGGGGGTGCAGAAATATGTGACAGTTTGTGACAGGAGGGGGGGAGGGGGTTGAAAATTGAAAAAAATAGCGTGACATACTTTATGGACGACCCCATATATATATATATATATATATATATATATATATATATATATATATATATATATATATATATATATATATATATATATATATATATATATATATATATATACACAAGATTAAAGAAGAAATATTTAATATATTTATTTATGAAAAAATATTTAATATATTTATGTTTACATTTGATTTTAAAAAACTCACAAACATTTGTTTTTATTCCAAAAGATGTTAACGCTGTGTAAAATACGAAATCTGCTAATAGTGCGTTGACTATCTGAATGTCTATTTCAGTTTTCCAATATTTTGGAATGAACTGAACCCGATAATCAGTTAGCAAACAATTCCTTGTAGCATAATATAACCTAAGAAATATAACTGGCAACTTACTCAATTATTTATATCAAAGTTTTCATTTCATTTTAACAAAGTTTTATACTGAAAATATAAAGTTTCGCGCAATGTTTTGGGTTAACCAAAAAGGCGGCTGTTTTTAAAAACTGGCTTCAGCGCGTTTTATATAAAGTATATATGGCGTCTCCTGTTTATTAAACCTCCTTGGTTCCTGTAATCTTTTGCAGTCTTTTGTTCCATATAATAAAAAATTAAAAAATGGCGTAATCAATAATAAGTTATTTGTTGGTAGCAACTGTATGCAACTTTTTTAAACATGAAGGAGATTTTGAAGTATCGGTTATTATATATCAAATGAAAGATCTATAAATAATTTATTTGAGCATGTCAAAATTATTTATTAGGATTCAGATTGGTATATTAATTTTTTTATATGAAAATGACCTTTTTTGGTAGGATTTTTTAACAGTGATAAACTTGCAATTATTAAATAAAAATTGACAGTTTATTTTTTGCTAGCTTTTAAACACTCTTTTCTTCATGCATATAGCGTAATTTGAAAAAACACAGAAATCCAGAAACTTTATAAAAGCGATGTCAAAATAAAAAACGGACGCGTATTAGGGTACCTATATATATTGTTTATAAAATGTAAAAAATCCACTTATATAACGTTTTATTCAGGATCGTATCTAATATAAGTAAACTTTTCTATTAATTAGAAGTCTTTTACACAAGCTGTTATGTTTTTATTTTTTGTAGGTATACTATTATATTATAAAAAAATGACAAGATTGAAAAAGCATGAAGCATATTGAAAAAGCATGAAACATATAACATTAATTAACTTCCCTTTATGATATATCTAAAACATTACCATAGTTTTTCTTCTCCAACTAAGTTGTTCTAGGAACATCCTTACAAGTGGAATCCCAAAGATTACCCTCATACTTTTTTGGTTAATTCAAACTCAATTGACTATTTTATTTAGGTAGAACTTATTAACTATTTTTAAAAATATTAAATGCATATAAAAACTGACAATGTTAAAAAAGATATAAGTGATGAACAACATTATTTATATTGCCGGTCCAACCTGTCGGTAGTAGTTTAAATAAAATAAAAATAAAAGGATTTATAAACAAATTATTTCAATATTTACGTAAATATGTAACTACATATTATAATAATTCAGCTATTTAATTGTAAAGAAAAAACATAAACATTTATAGACAATAAGTGTTTTAACATCAAACATTTTTATGCTAAACTAAAACTAAAGCCATTAAAAAAAATTAAAAAAGATAGAACTAGTTTTCTTGTGTACATTAGTTATCTAATCTTATCCGATACACTGCTTACTAAGCTAATTAAGTATATTAGATAAGTTTTATAATAATAATTACATGAGTTTTAATGTACACTAGATAACTAGTGTATTAATACACTATCTACATTAAAACTAAAATACTTGTTATAAATCAAATAAACATTAAAAATCAATTCCAAGTTATGCAAGGTAAGAAAAGCTATTGGCAAAAGCTAGAATAAGTATACGCATAAATAATACATAATTAAATATATAACTAATATATAACTAATATATATATATATATATATATATATATAAATATATATATATATATATATATATATATACATATATATATATATATATATATATATATATATATATATATATATATATATATATATATATATATATATATATATATATATATATATATATATATATATATGCATTTTATAATGTATTATAATATAATAATATCCAGAGATATGAAGACAGTATAAGACCAAGACTTTTTGATTCAATACCAAGACTATGAACAAGACAGTTAAATGAGTCTCGAGAGGTCTCGGGATCAAGATTCAAGTCTCAAGACCAACATCTTTGATAATATCATATTATGATGCATTATAAAATGCATACATTTATCATGTTTTAACTATTGCAAATATATCTTGTTGTTTTTGTCTGCATGATTAGTTTGAATCGTATTAAATGTGATGCATTATTAAAAACATACGAACTATAGTTTTATCAAATACAGAAAAACAGAAGAATGCAGAAAATATTATTTACTGAAGTTAGAAATGATTATAACTCTACAAGTTATGACGGAATCTTTAAAAGCGCATTCGTAAAACCCATGTAGCAACATGAGCTATAAAAAAAACACCATGGTTCACCCATGGAAATTCCATGGATTTTCAATTTTCATGAAAATTCACACATGGAAGTTCCATGAAATTTCCGTTTTCCATGGGAAAAACATGCTTTACTCATGGTTTTTCCATGGAATATTTTCGTAAGAGTATATATATATATATATATATATATATATATATATATATATATATATATATATATATATATATATATATATATATATATATACATATATACATATAAAAAGCGTCAATAAGACTGTACTTAAACACTTAATCTTTATACGTTGGCGCAAATAGGTACGTTTATAATCTTTTGAAAATATTGTTTTTTGACGGTTCGCCAATAATATTCAAATATAAACATTAAAAATGGCGATAATAAAACGGCAAATAACAACATTTCTTAAACTTTATTTTAAATGAATGGAGTATTACAAGTAAGAATGGAATTTTGATATACAACTAATGAAATTTTAAACTTTAGTAATTTAAAAAACATAATTTTTGGTTTTTTATTAATTGCTTTAGTTGTCTTTCTAATCAAACGTCGTTTTATAATTAGGAAGAAAAGAAGCTTAACTAACATATCTTTTAAATAAAGTGATTCTATTATCGAGTTTTTGTAAGCATTTTGTTGAATAATTACAATAACTAATGGCTAAAATTATGTAGCGTATCCTTAGAATAGTTTTTTTTTAAATGTTTTAATAACATTCATTTTATTGAATTTTTGTCCAGTGAACTCACTGTTTTTTTTATCTTTAGTTACAACCCGCCTTAAAAAAATTAAGAGTCCCTTAAGGGACTGAAGAAAATGTCAGCGCGGAATTTTAGGGTCCCTTTAGAGCTAACCCTAAGACGACCAAAAAAAAACCACGCGTTACCACTAAAAAGATGAGTAGTAAAGCGTGATTGTTTTTTAAATACATATTTTTTATAAAATATAAAAAAAAAAATTTTTTTAATGATTATTTATTACGATTCATATTACCTAAACTGTTACATATTACATATTATTAACATAATAATGCTATTCAAAATACAAGATAATAATATTTATTTAAAGATGTTTTTCGCTCCTTTTATTGAGGAGCGTTATCATCTTCACTTCTTTCGTCACTGTCTGTATATTTCTCGTCAATCAAAACTGCTGTTTTCTTACATCGCCCCAGCCGACCACCAGAGCAACCTCTGGCGTTTTTGAAAAATCGTGCAACTTTTAACTCAATTTCTTTTTTGTGATGCCGGGGAATAAGTAAACAGTTGAAGCAATAAATACACCATATTAAAATAATCACTTAATAATTACTATTTATTTAAGAGACTGTTACATATAATCACATCGACAATATAAATATGTGTATAAAATTAAGTATATTGTTAATAACAATAGATTTTAAACTTTCGTTACTTCATTTTATTGTCTCAAACAGCGAATCAGTTACTCACAAGACTATTTAAAATATAATATCAATTTATTTTTTATATCAAAATTATTCGAAGTAGCTCTAAATTTCACTCACTTTTAAGCAGATTTTCTATTGATCGAAAAACTTAAGTTTGCCATGTTTTCCGTGCCTTTTGATCATTTTTTTGCATATCATGTGTCAGCAACTTAATAAGCACTCTTAAAATATGGTCATAGGCAGTCAACCCTTCTTCAAGCATCATCCATGACAGCTAAAAAAGATTAGAAATGTTTTATATAACTATTATTACATTCCCAAAACCAAGAGTATACTTGCTTATTCAGAAATTAATTAAAACATACCATACTGTTTGAGTGCTTTTCAACTTCAGAATATTGCAGTACAGAACTAAAAATTGGGAACTGGATTTGGCTGATATTCTGATCAACATGATCATTACAAAGGCGTTCTTCCAACCTTCCCTGTCTTTGTTCAAGGCTTGTCAACTTAGATTGAATAGAATTTATTCCACAAAAAATTTACGCATTCATAAGAAATGACCTGTTATGAAAGAAAGTGCCTCCTATGAAAGAAAATGACCTGTTATTAATGTTACTTAAAACAAATATTAATCATATTTCCCATGAAAAATATTGTAAAAAATAAATATTAAGACTTAGCAATATAAAATATTCAAACCTTGTGCACTAAATGGTTTACCATTTAGACAATTACAAATACAAAGCATACTATGATGCATCTTTAATAAACTTAAATCAGCGGAATACCTGGGACTCAACTAAACTTACAACATATTACAATAATAACAATATATATATATATATATATATATATATATATATATATATATATATATATATATATATATATATATATATATATATATATATATATATATCAAGATAATACTTTTGCATAAAAAATAAACATTTTGTGGCATACATTTGATTGATTATCTGTCTGTGGAACACTTGATACCTATACGAAATTAAAAAGACATTAGCATAATCAAACTTATTATGCAAAAGATATAGAAGTATATCATTATTTTTAAAAAACTTCAGTTGCCTGGATAGATCCAGGTAATTGCTAACTGAAAATCTTAAAAAAATATATAGCAGTAACACAAAATAGAATTTATCTCAAATTATCATAAACAACAAATTTAAAATAATTTATGTTCTGATGCAATAAAACTAGAATAAAGCAATATTAAATATACTTAATTTAACTTTAAGGTTTAGAAAAAGAAAAGAAAACATTAATTTGACAAATTGTAGTTATTGAAGAGAAACACTAAAACAATCAAAAGCTGTTTCAAAAACTTATCATTTGAAAAACATTATAAACTTCTGAAAGCTTATTAAAAATAATAAATTTTGATGTATTTCTCTTTTTGTTATCACGTAAGGTTTTTGAGAAAACCACAAATTTGTGTTAACAAATTTTTTGCTTATTATAAGTGGCTTATATCATCAGTTTATATTTGAATACAAGTTTAATGGAATATTTTATTGCTGTTGTTTGTGTGTTTCAGATTTTAATTTCAAAAAAAGTTTCACAATGCCAAGATATTGTACGAATATAGCAGACAGGTTTTGTTATGTTTGTGGACAATTTTGCATAGTGGCAGAGAAGAAAGTTCACATTTAACAAAGAAATATTATCATGCGTACTTTAGATGTAAACTGGGAGACCAGGACAAAGCATGGGCGCCTCATTTTATTTGTAAACTTTGTGAAGTAGTGATGTTCTTGATCCTGATTTTAATCAGGATCAAGATTGTTTATTGATTCATCAAAGCGCAGTATGAAGGCAGTCCTTTTATTTAATGGAAACAAAATATCATTACTTCCAGTTGCACACTCGGTAACACTAAAAGAGACGTATGAAAACATGAAACTGTTGCTAAGTTGGTTGAATTATAATCAGCACAAGTGGTTGATATGTGGAGATTTAAAGGTCATAGCCATCATATTAGACTCCGAAGAGGGTATTAAAAATTTCCATGTTTTTTGTGCTTCTGAGATAACGGAGCAGACTCTGAGCATAATGCCAAAAAAGTGTGGCCAGCGAGAGAAGAATTTACTCCAGGAAGTCACAATGTCAAGTTACAGCCTTCGGTATAAGCACATCAAGTTTTCCTCCCACCACTCCATATAAAATTGAGTTTAATAAAAGCTTTTGTCATAAATATAGACCATATTGGCTCTGGATTTCAATATTTGTCAGACCAATTTCCACATTCAAGTGAAGCAAAATAGACTTCAGGTATCTTTGTTGGAGGGCAGATCAGAGAGTAATGAATAATGAGGAGTTTTTATTAAAATTACCCACAGTTGAACTGCAAGCCTGGATGTCTTCAAAGATGTTGTCAACAAATTCTTAGGAAACTTTAAATCAGACAATTACAAAAGTCTTGTTGAAAACATGGTAGCCAAATTTCAGGTTTTAGGTTGCCGCATGAGTGTCATGTTGCACTTTTTGGACTCTCACGATGACTACTTTCCTGAAAATCTTGGTGCATACAGTGAAGAGCAAGGTGAAAGGTTCCATTAGGACATTCGCGCAATTGAGAGTTGTTACCAAGGTTGTTGGAATGTGAATATGATGGCCGACTATTGCTGATCATTAAAAGGCCATAATCCCGGTGCTGCTCATAAGAGAAAATCACTCTAAAGACAATTTGCACGGTAGAAGACAATACATAAATGTATATATGCTTTTATATTATACTTTTGTCATTAATTCAGTAAATACCAATTGTTTTCTGCATGACCGAAGCACATTTTGTTGCTGGTTTTATTGACATTTATCTACATTAACAAATGTCGAACTGCAAAAAATCCTGACGTAATACAAAAAATTGGATTACATATTTGGACTAACCATAAAAAGTTGTGTAAGAAACACCTATTTGCATATTGGCAGTTTTCACAAAATGAAAATTTGTAGATTAGTGTTATAGCAGAATTATCTGTTTATAAAATTACATTACATACACTTAATGTTTGGATTTTTGTTGTACTCTAAAAATGTGTAGAAACTTGATGCATTAGTTAAAATCATTTAAATAACATTGGCATAATTTTTAGCATTGACAGGGTATTTAAAGCTGATTTAACAGTAGTTTCCTTGGTTACATTGTTCCTAAAATATCAAAATATTTTATTGATAAAAAATTACTAAACAAACTATCTAAACAGTTGCAAAAAATAAAAACATTACTATTGACAATTTGAGTCTTCAGAAGCTGTATGAAGTGGATGGATTAAAAAAAATTTGGATAATAATTTCTTAAAAAAAAAATTAAAAAAAAAACCATAAGAAACTAAATAAACAGAAGATATAAACACATCTATTAAATAGTTTTGTATTCTATATTTACATAAACTGGAGGCAGTGGTTAAAAAAAAAAAAAGTCCTTGATTTTCAATTTGGGCGGCGCCAAAATACAGTGGACACTGTCAAAAACGATCTAGAATAGCCCCTGTATATATATATATATATATATATATATATATATATATATATATATATATATATATATATATATATATATATATATATATATATATATATATATATATATATATATATATATATATAACAATACAATCAAATTATGATGAATCAATTTGTCAACCGTTTCCTTTCTCTATAACTCTGTTCTTTTTTTTTTCCTAGTAACTCCCAACTTAATAGTTGCTAATAATAATAGAAACTAATAATAATAGAGACTTGACATCTAAAGATAGAAAAAGTTGATCCTTTGGTCCTCAGAGCATACACCATGCAACAATATCTAAAAAAATATTTCTGAATAATTATATATCACCATAACACAACAATTTTTAATTGGGAAACCTTATGTCCTTGTTAATAAATAATCTTAATAATAAGTATATTCTATCTTAATAATAAGTATTAATCTATAATAATAAGTATAATCGCTTTAATCTTGACTTGTTAAAGATCAACACAGTCTTTGATGATGAGATGAAACCTTGCAATGACAGATAAAATAAAATATATCAGGTATTTAAAATAATTACTAAAAAAACTTATTAGTTAAAAAAATAATAATAATATAACTCCTGATGCATAACAAATTGTACCATTAAAACTGAAACATCAATAGAAGCAAGTAAATCATTTGATGTCTGTTGCCTAAAATAGAATAATGAAAAAAGAAATACCAATTCCAGGTTATATTTATTGGTCAAAATTCAACACAAACTCAACACAAACATATCCAAACATGCAAAATTCTTTCTTTTGCATGAATGGATGAATGGTCTTTGTTTTTTCATTTATGCAAAAATCTTTCTGCATACAAACAATGCATCACAATTATTAGCATCAACATTAGTTGTCAGGTATAAGGTGATTGACTCAAATCAAATAGAATAAGAACTTTAATTTCCCATAGCATGTTGCAACCAGCAAATTAACCCTGGTTGCAAAGGTTGCAACTATAGAAAGTCAATCCTAGTTGTTAATTGTTGCTAATTACCTGACTACCTGATGTAACAACACAACAAGATATTTATTTTCCTCAAAATTTACAATCATATAATTAAAATATAATAATAATAATAATAATAATAATAATAATAATAATAATAATAGCAATAATAATAATAATAATAATAATAATAATAATAATAATAATAATAATAATAGTAATAATAGCAATAATAATAATAATAAAAATAATAATAATAATAATAATAATAACAATAATAAATATGGTTGAAATTGAATTAAAATTGAATTGGCAGACAAGCATGTCATGGAGAAATACAAAATACCTGCTAAGCAGATTTTTTCATTGTTTTGTGCGACTTAGAGCATTTGCTCTACTTTCTCCTGTAAAACCACTATGCAATTTTGCAGAACAAAAATCACATTATTTTTGGTTTTGGGTGAATTTAATATGTTAGTTTTGGTGGATTTCACATGTTGTTCCAAAAAAAAAAATTGTTTTAAAAAATCTTTGGCTGTATAGTTTAATATTTTTCTATTAGTTTTTTAAGAAGCTAATAGATTGTCTTTTCTTTGCAAATAATAATCTGAGATAATAATTAAACATGTAGCTTGCCTTTGCCTTATTTCTTGAATCTTTTAGGTCTTCTTAATGCTTATGTTTTTTAGCTTTTTATTTGCAAATTTTTCTTTCTCATAACTTTTTCTCTTTGAATTAACATGTCAGCTCTCAACCTGGATAGTATTGGTTAATGAGAAGAGGTTATTAAACAGGACCAGATAAAGGAGATAAGTAATCACTATTTATTATAAAAAAAACTCTAATGTGTTAAGAAGATTAAAATGAAGAACATAAAACAGTTTTAAATGAGCTTGCAGTTAATTGCAATGATTGCGCTGTTGCAGATATTGCTATTTGGCATGCAAAGAGCTTGTAGCAAATGCTACAAAAAAAAGTTAGATTTCTCAAAAAAATTGTGAGAATAGATCTTGGAGGTATTCACTGGATAAAAGTTTGGTTTTGACCAACCTTGAAGATTAAATATTTACAGACTAGTTTAGCAGTTGTTTTAAATTATTTTCTGTTGTGAATATGTACATTACATTGTCCATTTCTGTAGAAATAACTGCTCTAGTGTACAACAGAATGAAATCGCTCGAAATTTTTAATAGCATACATTTAAAGTATGTTATTAACAATTTTTCCAGTTTATAGATTAACTTTATGTGGGAATCGATTTAAAAAGTAACTTTATTTACCAATTAAGTGGAAATTTCGTTAATATATCTTAAATGTGCCTACATTAAAAGTATATTATTAACAATTTCCACTTAACTGGTTTATTAATTAAATCATTTAATTAAAAAACCAGTTAAGTGGAAATTGTTAATAATATACTTTTAATGTAATGTATTTAATAAATGAAAACTGCTATAAATCATTTATAGTAAATATAAAAAATAATAACCTATTTTATTAGTAAAAAATTTCGTTTTTTTAACAAATTATTGCAAAAGGTATGCAAAAATAATATGTAAAAATACTTTTCAAAAAAATTTATAATTAAAAATTTTAAAATAAAAAATGTTAATAAGAAACGTTCATTACCGTAAAATACAACCCTCCCTCCCACCTCTTCCCCCCTTTCTAGCCATTTTATCAAGTCGGAAAATACGCAATATATGGTATGAGGGTGTTTATACTTTTATAAGAAAATTGATAGGTAGGTAAAAAATAGATGTAGAAAATTAAATAAATGCGTTATTAAAATTAATCGACATTCAAACAATATTAAATCGCTTCCTCTAAAGAAACGAAGTTTTTAATACTAATGAAATCTTTAAAAACTTTGATGACTGAAAAACAAAAACAAAAAAAACATTGTAAGCATTCTAATTTTAAATTAAATTCTTAGTTGATATAAAAAAACTTAAAAAAAATGACTACATCCATCCTACGTCAAGAATGTTGTGAACAAAATGGTTGCAGATTTTTCATTTAAAATCGGTTCCATACAAGCCACATACGCACGTACCTAATAATTGTTAAATTTTATTAAACTTAGCCAATAAAAAATTAAATTGAAAAATAATCTATGAAACTGCCTACTAAAATTTGCAACAAAAAAATTTATTTAAACTTATGGTTTGATTCTATGGTTGTAGAGGATACCCCGTATGTGTTGAACTCGCATGTGTTGTACCCATATGTTGCACCCTTGTGCAACATATGGGAGGATGGGCAGAGTTACAGGGAGTATAAATTGAGGATAAAGGGATAACATAAGTGAGAGGGAGGGGCTTGCGTTTTAAATAGAGATTAAAAAAGATGAAAATTTTCAGAAAGAACTTGAAACATATGTTTTTTAAATCTGCTAACAATTTGTATATTAACAATTTCGATATTTGCAATCTCGATTGCATTGCTTATTGTCTCAAATGTCAATCACATTATAATCCTGTGGTATTTTAAATTCGCTGATTATTATTATTTTCTTATTCGATTAGTTTTAATCAATAGTCTAAAATAGTAAGTGTTGTTTGTGAAACAGAAGCAGAATTAAAAATAGCATGCTATATCTTAATAAAGCTTAAAAAATTACGCAAAAGTAATCTTTAAGATAAATTTATTTCCAAATCTTGAATCATAACTGTAAACAACATAATCTTGGGAAATGTATAACTAAAAGCAATATATATTTTTCATCTTTGCGCATTATATGTTTTTATTAGTATGTCTTTCTATAGAATAAACATAGTTCATGTCGGGTAGATTAGGGTATTATGAGCATAATTAAAAATCAAATCCATTTTTGTTTGAAAAACAATGCATAGAAACATTTAGTTTTGACTTTATTTAATGATGTTATTAATGATGTGTTATATGAGCATGCTTCAATTACCCAGTGTTTTTCATTTAAATTACCAAGTTTAAAATCCTAAAAATAGCTATGGTTTTAATTGCTTTATGATTAAAAACAAAACATAGCAAAAAATTTAAATATTTTAACAATACTAAATATTTTTCTGTAATTTAAATTCAAGAAATTTGATTTTTTATTATTCAAAGGTTTGATTTAATAAATTGAAAAAATAACGAACTATTTTTTTTTTTTTTTTTTTGTTGCGGAAAACATAGCAGTAATTATTCCAACAAAAAGTAACTTTAAACTTGATCTTTTAATAATAAATTTTGTTATTAACGAATCATTATATTCCAAAAATTAGTTCTAATTGTCAGGTTGGTATTTTTTTACATAATAAATTTTGCAGAATTATTTTTTAAAATATTCCAATTTTCGCTGAAGGTGCTCATATTACCCTAATCTACCCTTTATCTATCTTTTTTTATGCAACACTTTTGTTGAAGTTTTTTTTAAGTTAATTTATAAATAAATAAACAAATTTCGTATTTACATATTATATATATATATATATATATATATATATATATATATATATATATATATATATATATATATATATATATATATATATATATATAGGAAAATGCGGGGTAAAAAGGCAATAAAGCCATGTAAAAGTAGTCGCTATAGGGAGGCTTTGTAATTCGTGCTTACTTATTCTCAAGCATTTTAATTTCACAGAGTACCTTCTCTTTTTTTTCATAAAGAACTTTTTGTTTATTAAATTACATTGTTTAAAATAATTGACAATTCTCACGAATCGTGGTGCTGTTGGAAGTAAAGGGAAGGCCGAAGAGCTTTAGCCCAACTCTCACTTTTTTCCAAAATTGTTAAACAAAGTACAACTAATAAAATATAAACTATGTTTATTTAGTTAAAATGTAAAGTCAAATATATTTAACTAACGCTAACTTCCAAACCTTTTAGTATAAATAACTTTAATATAAGAACTTTGGTTAAATATTTGAAGATATTAATTGCAAATTTTATTTAGAAAATTTAAAAGAAAAAGTATTCA